AAAAAAAAAAAAAAAAAAAGATGGCCTTTGTATGTTGGTCCCTCGGTTGTTTTAACTGCTCGCCGCAGGCCAGGACCATTAGTTCAGATCCCACTGGCGCCAAACTCAAAACCGGACCCCACATGGGCTAGCCATGGTTAAGACAAACTCAGGGGCTCCAGAAGCCCCCAGCCTCTGCTGCCCCTCAGAGCCCCGACATTACCTAGACACACCGGCTCCTCCGGATTCCTGGTCCACCCGGAGATCCCAGATCTCTTCCCCTTCCGGGTGCTGGCCCCACCCCATCCCATGCCTCCAAGGCCTCCTGCAGCGAGGACCTTCCCAGTCCACCAAGGTCCTGCCCAAATAAAGCTCCTTGTGTGCTACCGCCACCTTGTGGTCGTGTCTTTTCCTTGAGCAGCCCCCAAATCCTGGAACTCACAAGTGGTCCAAGCAGGGAACTGGGTGCTGATCAAGGAACTGGTACGGGGTCCGCCCAATCAGCAGGGCAACCAATTGGCAAACTGACCCTGGGGGGCCTCGAGAGGCTGGTACTCTGCATCTGGAAAGCCACAGGTTCAGTTCGGCAGTGTTCTGGCCGCAGCACTGCCTTTCCAGACTCCCAAGCCTCACTGCTTCTCAGCTGCTGGCTAAGATCAAGTGCAGACTTCCCTACCTCATCGGCCGGGCCGGGCGGCTGTGGCAGTATTTGAGTGAAGCCACCCCTCAAGGCTGACTCTTAGGGTCAGAGGTGAGCCTGCCTGCCGCGGTCCCTCAGGAGGCAGGCGCTGGGTGTTGTAAGACTGTGGGCCTGAACGAAAACAGGAGCGGCGAGTTCAATTTGGACCTGGGGTGGGCTACCTGCCACCCCCTTCCAGGCTATGGTGGGAAAAGCTCCCTGTGACTGGGCCAGCGACACAGGCTACTCTTGAGAGGGTGTGCTCATCCTTGGGGACCACTGGGGCAGACAAATGGGCCAATTAGGCAGAGACATGGGTCCAAGGCTGGTCTAAGCATGGTTGGGGGATGCGCCTCAGTCGCTGTGACACTCAGTTACACTGCTGTGAAACTGTCATTCTAGTCCCTCCCCGGAGGGTTACAGATATAAGGATTCCCCACCTTTAGGCTGAGCCTGTAAATGTTACTCCAAGTGACTAAAGGCCAGGAGGTTTACATTCCCGCCCCTCCCAAGGAGCAGCAGAAGCGGTCACGGTGAAATGGCAGCAAAGCTTTTAATGCTGTTTCTGCGGTCTTGCAATCAGGATACTCAAGTTTCATTTCTGATGAATAAAATTTCAAAAAACTTACTATTCTGAATAAAAAAACAGTCAGCATTTATTAAACCCTTGTTATACCTTTTATATAGCAGACACTGGCTTTTATACCTGATCTCATTTAATCCTGGCAAAGCCCTAAGAGATAACCTGCTGACGAAGACAACGAGGGGACAAGTTTACTTCCTCAAAAATGTGGGCTCTAGATTCTCAGCTCTCCTCCACTACGACTTCCTCCCCAAATACTCCGTTTACGTGAACCATTTCAAATAATTACCCTGAGAACAGAAAGTTGAGGTCAACATAAATGCAGTGGTCAGAGTAACAGAAAGAAACGCAGTGTTGCTTTAAGAGACACTGGCGAAGAGACTGGGTGACTGCTGAGGAGGCAGGCCCTGAACTCCGACCCATCAGCCTTACCTGGCACCCTACCAGCTCCTGTTCCACCACCTGCTGCATGTCTGCGTTTAATGTTTCCGGCTCAAATGCCACGTTGGCTTGGTGCAGCCACAGCTCCAGCTCGGCCACCTGGGTCTTGCAGGCATGGAGGACTTCAGCAGGCTCGGGGCTGGCTTTCTCCACCGTGGAATGAAAAGCTCCTTGCTTGACAGAAAAGCCCAGGTCTTCAGCCTCGATAGGAGGTGTGGCACCCTAAGATAAATCCACAGATAATCCAGTGAGAAGTCAGGAGTCCAAAGTTTTCAGATTTGGGCTTGCGAAGACGTGTGCACTTGTTCCATTTCCCCAGTTAAGAGAAAAAAGAATTACACACACAGACACACACACAGACACACACACACACACACACACACACACACACACACGGACAGAAGAAAGAAAAGAAAACTGCACCTCCACACTCATAGCAACAACCACGTGACCTGGCGCCCCAGGTCGCCAAGCAGCCGATCGGCAGGTACACAGGGACAGCGTTCCCCGGCACAGAGACGCAAACAGCCTCCCAGTGCGCTCGGCGTCGGGCCCCAGGAGACAGGTGAGTGTCGTGAGAGGGTGTGCGCGTGGGTGTGCGTGTCTGAAACACTTCAGCGAACCGGCCGGTGTTTACAGTTGCATGAAGTGATTGAGCAATGCTTACACTGCTGTGCGCTCTGTTCAAACAAGATCTGTACACACTGGCTGGGGAACAAGGAAACATACACACGCTTTTAACATCTTCTCGGGGAGTCAGATTATAAAATATTTCAGTTTTTTTCCTCCCTAACATACAGGCCATTACTCATCTATACTTCTGTTAAACATAGCTTGAGTCTAGTAAGGAGCTTCAGTGAGGTAATCAGGAAACTTTTCTTCCACTTTTCAGAGAGAAGCCCTGAAACTGATTTCCACCTTCTAGATACTCAAGTATTATTGAGTTTAGAGCCAGATGCTTATAGTACAGTATAAAAAGGTGTGATGTCACCTTTTTGTACTGAAACAGTAAGGTTGCTTCTTGATCCAGCAGAAAAATTTCTTGTAGGTAACAGATGAAAATGTTCTAATAATTATATAATAGATATTTTCCATTTGGAGGTAAAAGATGATCTGATACAGAACTGTATTTGCTTCCTACATCGTTTTCCAGAATACTGAAAGATATCATTAATAACCCTTCTAGAAAAATTCCTTTAGGAATAAGGATTTGTGTTTTGCTCTACAAAATTACTGATCAATACATACCTTATTATGTATATGAGCAAATACAATGTTTTCCATAGAAGACTTGGCTAACTACACGTTAGCATCTAATAAGGCACAGTTCTGGCCAAGAGTCAAACTTCTAATGGGATTTGCTGACAAACATATGTCCTAAGTCAACTCAAATGCACATTTCCCAGTGTTTGAGGGATTTCATTTAAACACAGAACTTTCAGTACAGCGCAAGTAAAGAAAATTGGCAAGTGGTAACAAAAACGCACAGGGTTCGGCGCCACTGTTCATTCCCTACGACACGACAGCCATGAAAGCTGGTTGTGCCTCTGGGCTGCGCTTGTTCCCGTGACCATAAACGTCGTATGTTTGCTCTTTCTACCTACACGCTATTTCTCCCCAGCGCCCATCAACATTTTCTTCAAGAATCCCCTTCTTAGAGAAGTGTTCCCTTCTTTTCTCTGCAGTTCATACACAGTCAGCTCTATACATGGCTTGGCCTGTTTTAAATTTCTTTTTTAATCCTAATTTTTTAAAAAGTAACAGTTGTGTAATTTTACTGCAAGACACCAATTTGTAGTGGCAGGATTGTTTTCTAGAGTTCAGATATTGCTTTTGTTTTAGTGGTAAAGATTTTGGGATCCTTTTTTTGTTACGTGAGGTAACAACCTGCAAATATTAATATATCTGTATGACAGATTTATCATCTACCTTTCTTATTTGTTTAAAAATAGTATTTGAGCACCCATCATATGCCACACACATTTTAAAAATGACAGTATTTAGTTTCTTTGCTTTCTCACTAATTCACTGAATTAATGAGGAAACAGGAAGCTTGAAAACAAGTCTGGGCTTTATTTCCTAGTTATTTAAGCCTGAAAAAAATACAAAGGTAAACGGAAGAGAAAAAGAATATGTGCAACCACAGAACTTCAATAGCTGAAGGTGTCCTGGGGAACCTGCCAGTAATCAGTTCATCGGCCTCTTTTCGTAGTGAAAGCAACCCAAGTGCGTTTAACGTTTAGTCAGTTCACACACCTCCTATTTCACCATACTGCTTCTGAGGAGCTCAGGCCCAGGCATAAGGCACCTGCCCAAGGTGACACAGCTCTGTCACCTTCTAGTCTGAGTCCACAGTTTTTCCCCACAATAGCACCCCTGCTAACTGACAGCCCCAAATTCTAAAAGCAGAGATTATTTAAATGAATCTTACAACATCTTGGGGGGCTAAAAAGCAGCATCACAAGTATTTCATGTGATAGAATTACATCATCTCTGTAGCGTAACTGTCAATTAATAAAACCTAATCCTTCATTGGATTATTATGAGCCGGGCGACTGTGCTCAGTGGGATGCACTGACCACCTCGGTATTGTACACAATCCTATTACTATTCCCAGTGTACAGATAAGGAAACTGAGGGTTAGAGAGGTTACAGAAATTGCTTATGGTCACCCAACTGGTAAAAAGAACCAGGATTCAATTTCTGATTTCATTATGCCTTAGAGTCTACAAGTCCACATTCTTGGCATAATTTAGACTCCTCTCTGGTATCCCAGTTAGCCTCTCGGTGATGCCCATATTGCCTTATTTCTGCATCTACACATCACTAATCTAAGTAACAGGATCCGGTTAAAATATAAACTCTCTTTCTGGCAATGCATACCTCATGCCTGAACACCAACCCTTTAACGTTACTACTTAATATTTTACAGTCAATTCTAAAAAAACATAGGCATGTCTCCCCCTTCCACACATACACTCTTTTTATAAAATGCAAAACTGCCCGGCTAAAGTGCAACACCTACCTGCACTTGCATAGACACTGGGCATGCTGTTGGGACAGGGTGATGGTGTTTTATTTTGTGGGGTAATGGTGAGAAGCTTTCAATTTCCAGTTCAAGAGGGGCCCTTCCCTAAGCATTCTTCAAACAAGAAATTCTTTTCCGTGTCTTACTAACCCTTATCACCCCTGTCCCCCTCCCCTCAAAGAAGTGATGCCCAGAATTACCTGAATGATTGTTCCAGAGGACAGGGGTGCTGTATCTTCCTCCACATCCTTGTCATGCTTCCAGAGTAAAGACCAAGACCCAGCAGACGGCTTTGCTTTCTTATCTCCGTTCTAACACAATAATCCATTGATCAGCAGAGGGAAGTGATTTCCTGCCATCATAACCAGCCTCCTACCCATCCCTCTTATACAAAACACAGCTTACCAGGCAGCGTAACTGCAGCCCTTAATTCCACCTCTCTCCCTATTTTTCATCTCTTTCTTTGGCTAACTAAATCATATGTCTCCAAATGGGAATGCTCTTCCTGAAGCCCAAAAAATACTCTTAAAAACTGGGAGTCAGCCATGACCAGGTGGCTCAGTGGGTTGGGTGTCATCCTGTGAACCAAAAGGTTGCTGGTTCGATTCCCAGGCCGGGCACATGCCTGCGTTGCTGCTCAACCCCCAGTAGGGGGCGTGCAGGAGGCAGCCGATGGATGGTTCTCCCTCATGGATGTTTCTCTCTCTCTCTCCCCCTCCCTTCCTGCCCCCCTCTTTTCCCCTCTCTACAAATCAATACAAATATATATATTTTAAAGTTGGGAGTCAGCTCACATCACACAAAGAGGATCTTTAAAACTGCTTTAGGAATTTAATCCATTTTGGTAAATGTAACCTTTAATGTTAATTTTCACGTAACAGCCTAATGAACGTGTATTTTTGCAGTTGTTGTCAAACAAAAACAGTGAATGTTAGAAACATCAGCTCAAAGGGAAACAGATCTCAAATTAGAATCATATTGACGTGCATGCTTTCCTTGGCCCCTGGTACCCCCTCCATTCTCACAATTCTCTCTGCAGAGAAGGGGTATAATCAGATTATGGAGCTGTCGAATGGTCAGAGGATGGTGAGCCTGGACTCAGCCCACCGAGGGGTCCTAGTGATACACTATGGGACAACAGGTTGTTCTGTGTGACTACGGAGCTATTTAACGATCTATAAAGTGAGCAGGAAAAATGACTGGTGGTTGCATGTGAGACAAGGACTATTAAGTTGCTGTGATTTTCTTCCTTTTGGCACAACACCCATTATAACTTTAGTTTTTAAAGTGTGAAATGGAAATTGCTACCAGGAAAGACGACTGTCAACGTCTCATTCAACCAGCTCCAATGAAACAGTAAGTTGCTAACACCTCTCTTCGTGTCCTTGTCAATGCTGTTTTAGACTACAAAAGTGATTCAGATACGAAAAAATAAAGTTCTAAAAAGCACAGCAGGAGTACCAACCAAACAGCGTACTCTCAGGACTTGAGAGAAAGTACTCAGGACATGACAAGGAACTTCATCTTCTCCCTTCACGCCAACACGAGTGTCCGCATTACATTTCCCCCGCGCTGGCGGGGAGTAGGCTTTGCCGCACTTAGCAACGTGAATAACGTAAGAGAACTACTTCAGTCCCCCTTATACAATACAGGCAATCATTTAAAAAATCTTTACGTTCCCATTCATTCGAAGATCTTCCTACCGACCTTCTTGTAGATTTCGGTTCTAAGAGAATTTAACGGGAAATCAGCTCCTTACTTGGCTCTTCAGGGAGCTCTCTTCCGCCTCCTCCTTGACCGCGGGCAGGACGGACATGGAACCTCTTCTGTTCAGCTGGAAGGCAGGGCACAGAGACACTTGCCGCCAGGCTGCCATCAACCCCACGGGATCCCAAGCTGGCTGCATTTTTATGTAGCTCATTTCTTACCCATTTTATCCAAGACGCCCACCTACACAAGTAGCCCTCTGGGTCTGGCGACTCCAGCTCAACCCGCCCAATAGTCAAATCTTACGCCCTTTTCGTTGGCCTCGGCCTCTGTGGCTCTTTACCCAACAATTCAAAAATGTGCCTCCCCGATGGGGATTCAGAGGGGGCTCAGAGAGGTGCTGCACTCGTTTTGGAGACTGCGAGGGGCTGTTTAGTAAGATTTTCAAAGGGTGGCTCCCACCCACCAGCCCGTGGACTTTCACAAGCAGCTCCTTAGGTGACTCGGGCAGAAGAATTCTGTGGAGTCCAGGACACACCCTGAGGATTTATATCCAGTAGTGAACAATCTCAGGTGCAGTCGTTCCGCTTTGAAAAATTCCTTTACTATCGGCCACAGACACAGACGCGGCAGGTTTTTCGGGTGAACACTGCTACCCATTTAAAGCTCTTATGGAGTGTGGGACCAGCATTAACGAAAACCGTACCCACCTTCCACTCAGAAACATCCCTCTCGGCCACGCCCTCCTCCTCCAATGCTGCCACCGCCTGCATTTCCTTTGCTTTTTCGGGTTCTTGCTGTTCTTGCTGTAAATGCCGGTGAAGGTTTAGTACAGCAGCCTTTAAGTCCACCAACAGGTTTTCTTTTTTCTGGTTCAGACTCATAATCTGCTTTTCAATACCTTCGGTTTCTCCCTGTGCGGAAAGAGCGATTGCATCGTTTTAGGGTGTCCGAGGCCTTGGCACGCCCGCAGGGGCCCGCTTCAGTGGGTACACGGGATGATCTGTCTGTGCTGCTGGTCTGTAGAGCCAGGAGTTAGTCTCTGGACCAGTACAGTTCTGCATGCTGGCCGCGTTTCCCAATGACCTGGGGAGGGCTTGCAAGCTCCCTTACAGTACGCCCCAGCTCCCCTCAGACCTTGTCAGTCAATCTCTGGGGAGTCAAGCTGAGGCTCAGAAATTTGTAACAAGCTCCACAGGTGACTGCAATGTGCACCCATGGCTTTGTGGCCAGAATCTATAGGGTCACGGCCAGGGAATCTGCACTTGAACAAGTGCCCAGGAGACCCATGAGCAGACTAACATTTGGGAACCACTGCGAGAAAACAAGGTTAGAAATCTCACACTTTTACTATTGCTTTTGAAGCTTTCTCTAGCACTACTCCATTCATTTACTGTTTCTCACGGCCAAAGCTTCCAGATAGGAGTAAGTGGGAATAAATGAGAAGGTGGGTATGATTTTCAGTATACCAATGGGGATACATAAATGAAGGTACCGTGAAGTGTAACTTACTACGGGAATGACAGACAGATGATTCCAAGCTTCACAACAGTACTTTAAAACGTTGTAGGATGGCTGTATGGGGATAAAATTTCTTATACATGGTAGAAGTGCAGATGCCCACGGTCTTCTACGGGGATCACAGAATCAGATTTGGCAGAAATGGCAGGTGTCACCTAGCCTGACATCGCCTCTCTAGCAGCCCTGAAAGGCAGCACCACCTGCCTGAGCGCTGCAGTAAGTGCTGCACCAGAAGACTTTCTGCTCCTTAGCAGACCTTCACGCACTCAGATTTTGTCCCTATGTGTTTCCTTAAACCCCTGCTTCTTCCTTTATTCTTTCATTCCATCCACCCACCTTATAGATATTCACAGAACCATCAATTAGTTGATAGACACAGAAACTTAACATGTCTACACCTGTGAGAGTTCTGAGGTCCAGAGAAAGAAGGTGATTTTCCCGGAGCTGCCGCTGGTGACAGCCACGGACCCGAACTCCCCGACACCAGCCCCATGGCTCTTCAGCCGCGGCACACATTTCAACACCAACACCCCAATTCTGCCTGAAGGCAAGCTCCTTGTGATCGCTGAGTGAAATGATAACTGAATTAAGTCTAAGTAAACACTAAACTTCACAGGAATAGTGCCTACCAGCGAACACAGTACCACAGCCATCAGGGTGAGACACTCGGAGACACAGAGCACCTGCAGAGCCCCCACGATGGAGGCACAGGAGGCTGGCCGAGCAGCCACCTCGGCGCGGCGTCCACAGACCCCGCGGCCGCCACTCCGTGAGGTCAAGATCATTTTTATAATAAGACTAAAATGTTACTTGCCTTTTTTACCGTGTTGACAGTTTTCACTGTGTGATTTTCATTGCAAAAGCAATAGTGGGCAAAACGACTGGCATCTTCCACAAATCAGGCAGGAATGACAATTATTTTAGTAGTTGTTCAAGTCTTACTGTCAATGTACTTAACTATATAAAAAAGCCAGTTTCGCTTAAGAATACCCTTGACAGCCCAGCCAGGGGTGGCTCAGTGGTTGAGCATCAACCTACGTATGGTCCAGGAGATCGCGGTTCGATTCCCGGTCGGGGCACATGCCCGGGTTGAGGGCTCAATCCCCAGTAGGGGGCGTGCAGGAGGCAGCCCATCAATGACTCTCTCATCACTGACGTCTCTCTCTCTCTCCCTTCCTCTCTCTGAAATCAATAAAAATATATTTTAAAAAAATACCTTGATAAAGAATATGTGTTTTTAATATTCTGTGTGACAAAGTGGGGACCATGCTGAAAGCACTGCTGCCACATTCCAAAGTATACGGGCTGAGGAAAAGCACTTGTGTGATTATTTGAGTTTTGAGGGAACTGCTGATTTTTTTTTTTTTTTAATAGAGCACTGTTTTTGGGGGGAAAAACCAGCTAGTCAATTATACTTACATATGTAAATACTAAGTTTTCTAAAGAGATAGATGTTAATAAATGTAAAAGTTTTAATATCAATTACTGAAATGTGTCAACATTTGGAGAGGCTGCATAACTGTGAAACAATATTGTTCAAAGGATCCAGCGTGATGTCATAGAGTCACGCAGGGTGAAAAGATCCATTCAAAGTACAGGGTGGGGCAAAGCTAGGTTGACAGTTTTATATATGGAAAATAATACAATCATTAATATATAATAATACAAGAATAAACTGTGTTTTGTGTACTCATAACTGTAAACCTACTTTTGCTCCACCCTATATAAGACGGACTGTGTAAGATATGAAAAGTTCATGGACATGGTTTTAGTGTAGTTTCAAAGAATATCATGGAGTTCAGTGTAGTTTCAAAGAATATCAACAATTATTCAGAAGGGTCATCAAAATATTCCCCTTTTCTATGTACATGTCTTGAGAGGTTGGATTGTTTTATATACTTGAAATAAAACCACATAGCTCAGCAGGTGGAATGCAGAAGCAGCTGAGAACCTGACAAGTCAGACATTAAAGAGATTTGCAAAACCGTAAACAGCACCTCTCTTCTCACTATATTTTCTTTTTGGAAAACATAATTTCTTCCATAAAACTATGTTATTTCTATTAACATGGAATAGGTTTATTATTGTTATTTTTTTTAATTATCTTTATTGGTGAAAGTATTACAGATGTCTCCCTTTCTCCTCATTGACCCCCCACCCCACTCATGCCCTTATTATTGTTATTTTTAAATAAACTAAATAATATTTTTTACATTTTTGAGTTTTACTTTCTTTCTATATTGGTAGATGCAATTCATAAATTAAAGCTCTTTTGGGGGGTCCTCAAATTTTTTAATGTAAAGAGAAATTTGACATTTTTACAATATTGAGTCTGCCTTATTGAGTCCATTACTTAACAGCTGTGTCACCTTGGATCCCTCTGTACTTCACCCTGAGGTTAAGTCACTTGTCCCGGGTCTCACAGCTAGCAAGTGGTGTAACCTGGCTTTGAATATCACAGCAATTGCCTGAACTTGATAGCAGGAAAAAAGCAGCTCTACAATCCCTGCCATATAATCAGTTTTTTCTTTATAGCAGTTCTGATTCAAACAAAACACAGCAAAACAAAAAACCCCTAGCAGCTCTGGAAGGTGTTCTCAGTGGTTAGAGCACCAGCACGCGCACCAAAGGGCCGAGGGTTTGATTCCCGGTCAAGGGCAGGTACCTGGGTTGCAGGTTCAATCCCTCACCCTAGTAGGGGTGCGTGCGGGAAGCAACCAATTGATGTGTCTCTCTCACATCGATGTTTCTCTCTCTCTTTCTCCCCTTCCCTCCCTTTTTACTCAAAAAAATGAATGGAAAAAATATCCTAGTATAAGGATTAACAAAAACAAACAAACAAACACCCTAGCAGCAGAAGGTTTACATGCAAGCCACTGTAACTTGGTCTACCCGACACTGTGAAGTATGACATATGGAAATAGTGCAGTGTATATGGAGCTCCTCATTGCAGCAGCGTCCTGGGTCTTGACCTCTCAAGGCCAGCCCACACTGCATGACCCCTATCCCAGAAAGTCAGGTTGTCCAAATGTCCTGTTACATGAGCTTCTTCAGTACCTGAGCAAATTCAGACCAATTTGCACCAAGCTGAGGTGCAATTATTTCCACCTACTTTATAACATAGAAATGGAAAGTAAATACACTCGTAAAAGACCATCAATTGGAAAAGCAGGAAGCAGGCTGTACCATCGCAAAGGCGTCTAGACACCAACGGCTTAGCAAGCGATCGCTGGAGGAACTGCTGGATTGTAGAACGAATACAGAAACATACCTGCACCTGTGGCACACGGGTGGCTTGGTCTGGTGACACATCTTCAAGGGAGAGCTCAGCTGAATAATCATTTAAGATCTGTTTCAAACTTTCTATTTCCTCATCACATTCATTAATCTGTTTTATGACTATCTGTAAAATAAACGCAAAAAGAAGAATCTTTGTCATATCTAAGAAACAGAGATCCATGGGCTGCTTCCAATGTCTGGCCCCATCACAAGTTCCAATCAATTTCAGCAAATGTGCACCCACACAGAGCTCCACAGGCAGTGGTCGCCTAAACGCAGAGGACAGCATTGGCAAAGCTGGCACCTGACTCTCTTGCTCTAGTAGCTGCCCGGGCACCCTGTGCAGTGCTTGGAGGAGAGGTCTAAGCAGACACGCCTTTGCTCTTAAGTATTTCCAGTCTAGGGGGCTTATTCTGGGATGCATTTTATGGCAGGTTGATATAAAGTTGCTAAGTTTTATAAAATTATTGATAGTTACATATGCCATTTAAATACCTTTTCCATGTGGGGCTTTCCACACAGAAAGATGACATTACCGAATCAGAGTGAGAAGGGCATGTATTTTGAGACATGACAAATTTTCCCATTCCAGCCACAGTCTCACCTGGTATCCACTGCGATCAGCAATGTGCATTTTATAAGTAAAAGGTTGAGGGTTCGAGAGCAGTCTGAGTTGGCAGCATAAAGCAAAACTAACCAGAGCAATACCTGGAATGTAGTGTTAAGCGAGCAGTGGAGCTTGAAGCTATTTGGGGACTAAATGATATGATCAAAGCGTGATGAAATAAAGAAATGGGCTTCAAAAGCAAGGCTAGATATTTCCTTGGTACGCTTCACAATGAAGCAAAATGTCTTTTAAACTACAAGTGTCTGACCAACACAGAATTCTTCCTTGTATTTTCTTTAATATTTAACCGTACTTTTAGCTGCCGGTTGGAAATGAATAACTATGTTCACTGCACACACCTGTTCCCCAGCCCTCGATCCTGAGCAACGTCCCATTACTCCCCCAAAGTAACTTGTCTCATTTTCCACAGCAAGGGCACTTCCAATATCTAAAGTAGGAATTAAAATAAATGTACCGTATTCTAATGCTTTTCATCACCACTGGCTTACTTAGCTTTGAATTATGTGAGACGACATCTGATTCCCACCAACACAATAAGATGGAAAATTTTAGCAGCACAGCTTGATACCTAACTTGACACAAAATATAATTTTGTTCTCTATTTTCTCTTCTCTTTCATCTTGTGAGGAAGCCACTTTCGGGCAAAGTTAGGAATGTTATTTTCTTTTCCTGACCAGGAGACTAAGAAGCACACGCACACACAAGTTATAGATCAAATTTTATATATCTGCTGGCTGGGTGGCTCAGTCGGTTAGAGCGCCACCCCGAAACGCCAAGGCCGCAGGTCCCCAGGCAGGGCACATACAACACGCAACCAACGGACGCATAAATAAGTGGAACGACAAATGGACATTTCTCTCTCTCTCTCAAAATAAATAAAATAATTTGAAATATATATATACACACACACACACACCCCTTTCTGTTTTTTTTCTATTTATATTATTTAAAAATAGTACATTAAGCCCGGGCCAGGTGGCTCAGTTGGCTGAAGAATCGTCCCATACACCAAAAAGTTGTGGGTTCGATTCCCAGGCAGGGCTCATACCCAGGTTGCAGGTTCTATCCCCCCATTTGGGGGGTGTACAGGAGGCAATTGATTGATGTTTCTCTCTCACATCAATGTTTCTCTTTTTCTCTCTTTCCCTTCCTCTCTTTCTCAAATCAGTAAACATAACCTCAGGTCAGGATTTTAAAAAAAAAGTACACCAAGTGCCCAACCTTTTTTTTCCCTTTGGGTGTCAGGAAATCACGCCAGCAGATCAGTAGCCAGGCCAGAGAGACTACATGAGTTAAGACTCAAACCAGAGATTACAGTGTCCTCAAAATCTTAGGAGAACAGAGAGTGGCCACCTAAATGTGAATGAAATTTAAGAGGGAGAAAGAAATAGCAGTTTTCTTCCTACAAGCAGGTGGTAGTCCAGAAAAAGGGGAAATAAACCTATTCTCCAACCCTGGCCCATCTAATCAGGAAACACAAGCAGAAGGGACTCTACGGAGACGGCTGAAAAAAAGTCTGTGGAATTTAAGGCTCTTTAGCAACTTTCTGCTCTTGTGAGAGCGGCAGCTGATCTAGGGTTACAAACCAAAGTGCAATGCGATTTCTATCCAGTGAGGATGCCTGACTTGAGACCGAAAATCAAACAAAATGTAAGGGAGGAACAACTCTAGGGAGAGACCAAAAGAGGTCATCAGTTAGAAAGAAGGGACCGGAATCCAGAAACTCAAATTCTTGTCCTATTCTGTACACAAATGAATCTCAACACAAGTCGACTCGATGTTCTTTTAGCAGGTCATCTACCTTCTGACACTAGTCTCCTTATAGATAAAGACGATGGCAAAGTGCCTACTCTCCCTGTATCAAACGTCTGAGAATAAAATGAGATGATTAATAGGCAAGCGGCTGAGATGCAAAAAAAGATTATTACGGGGGTGACTACTGTATGAGTCTGTCGGCCTCATGGGATTTCAAGTGCTTGGCTCAAGTCTGAATCTCTTCCCCCGGCATTTTACCCACGCAGGTCTTCAATAACTGGAGAATGGAATTAAATAGACCATAACTATCCTTTAATGTCTTCAACCAGAACAAGGGTGAGAGCCGAGAAAATAACCTCAGCCCCACCTGAGCAAGACGACACACACTCTTACGTCAAATGGGTAATAGCCTGGGAGAGACAGAAAGAACCAACGCAGGCAGCATCTTGTCGTCATGGGAATTTGATCTGCCCAACCATTAAAGCTGAAACCACCATCAGGTTTTCCTGAATATTTTCATCCAGTAGGTTGGCTGTCCTCATAAACTACTCACCTTTAATAACTCATTTTGTTCCTGAGTCACATTTTCCAGCAGTTTAATATCTTGTAAAAGCTGATGTGTCCGCTGGAACACAGGCAGAGGTTTCATTCCCGTCTGCAGTAACCTCAGTTGCACTTGGTAAGACATTATTTCAGCAATGGTTTTCTTCATGGGATGTATATTTTCCAGTATGACCTTAATTGTATCAGATAAGCAGGGTTCATGAGTGAAAACACGGCCACCGCTAAATCTAATTATTCAAAATTATAATAGTGTATAATTTAGTGTCTAATCTATAGTTCTGATTTTTAAAACATTTCCTCAGCTCAGCCCGGCCGGGCGTGGCTCAGCGGTTGAGGGTCGACCTAGGATCCAGGCGATCCGGGTTCGATTCCCGGTGAGGGCACATGCCCAGTTGCGGGCTCAATCAATGACTCTCTCATCGTTGATGTTTCTATCTCTCTCTCTCCCTCTCCTTTCCTCTCTGAAATCAATAAAGATATATTTAAAAAAAGTAAAACATTTCCTCAGCTCAGATTGAAAAGGGTTATTTTATCGCTTGAGACCTGGGAAAGGTCTCAGGAAAGAATGCCTGGGGCAAGTGTAACCTCCCAGCACTAAACCATGCACTTGGGCAACCCTGTCCTGCCTTCTCTCCCTCCTCCTGTCCCCTCTGCAGAACTGTCGTTTTGCCCCGTGTATTGTCACCAGGCGGTGAGCTGTGTAAGAGCAGGTCCTGCACCTTACTCTCGCGGCAGCCGCACCTAGCGTGGGCCTCCCACACAGCAAGTTCTCAGACGATGCTTACTGAGTGAACGGGACTGTCCTGTCAAATGTTGTAGGGCCCAAAGGTATAATGACTTGCTTTAATGACACCTGATCCATAGACACCTGCATTTACATAATCAATGAATGAGAAGAGATTATTCACTTTGCTAAGTACTNCTGTAGGTCCCAAAGGTATAATGACTTGCTTTAATGACACCTGATCCATAGACACCTGCATTTACATAATCAATGAATGAGAAGAGATTATTCACTTTGCTAAGTACTTCATATNTTGTAGGGCCCAAAGGTATAATGGCTTTGCTTTAATGACACCTGATCCATAGACACCTGCATTTACATAATCAATGAATGAGAAGAGATTATTCACTTTGCTAAGTACTTCATATGTACCCATTTCATTTAACCCTCACAACTACCCTGGGAGGTAGGTATCAGAACTTCCATTCTGCAGGTAAGGAAATGGGGCTCATGGAAGTTAGAAGACCCAGGTGAGGTGAGATGGTAAAAAGCAGGGCTGGGATGAGAAGCCAGGCCGCCGGCCCCAGAGCACAGGCATCCGGGCACTGTGCAGTGCCAGGGGCTCCACATACATGACGACTGCCCAGCATAATCACTGCAATGCCAGGTGCAGGTGTGAACGACAATCCAAGAAATGTTAACTAACAGCTCAGAGTCGCAGAGCTAGGAAGCAGCGTGGCTGGGGCTGGAACTCAGTTCTCCCGATGCGGAGCCTCAAGTTCTTGGGCTATTAACAACTAGATTTGACTTGAAGGCAAAACTTCCAAACTTTGAAGTTTTTGGAAGAAATGAACTGAAAAAAAATAAACCTATAGGAAAATCATCTTTATACAGATAGTACTATATGACTGAAAACATGGTGTTTATAGTCATTCATAATACCGCTTTCAACTTTATTGTTCTATTCCTCTAGAAAGACGGAATACTTTTTATTACATCATATTATCGCATATCTAAAAGTACACATACCCAGTAGTATGAGAAAATACTTTAAATAATGATCCATGCTTACCTCCCCATGCTTAAGATGTTCTTCAGGTGAAAAATCAAATATTTCTTTTGATAATAGGATAGCTTTGATTTTTGAAACTCTTTTCTCCATTGATTTTACTTCCGCTTCTATAGCAACCACATCCTAGCGTTTCGGAAACAAAAAACACTCATGCAGTATACGCTGTATGTTAATAATCTATAAGACACAATTTATTGCCATTCATTCTATTCTGATATTTAACCAAAATATGTTTGCCACTTATATACCTCTTAAAAACTAAACAAGTGCTACTCAGATAATGTTGATTGTTTTTAATTAAAAAAATGTTATTCTGTTACTAGTGTACCACACTCAAAGCATTGCTTACACATTGTTGAGTTAAAGATCCTCATAAAGCCAGTTTGCAATTATTAATATTGTGAGAGCAAAAGCACAGATGCTTCTTGACTTATGATGAGGGTAGGTCCTGATAAACCCATTGTAAACAGAAAATATCGTTAAGTCGAAAACGCATTTAATACACCTACTAAACATCATCGCTGAGCCTTAAACGTGCTCAGAACACCTACATGAGCCTACAACTGGACAAAGTCGTCTAACACAATGAATGCACTGTAGGGCAGCTAACTGGGAGGGGCGGTCCCTGCCACCGTCCGGCATCACCAGAGAGTATCTTGCTGAATATTGCCAGCCAGGAAAGATCAAAATGCAAAACCTGAAGTATGGTTTCTACTGAGTGCGCGTCGCAAAATCAAAAAATCTTAAGTGAAACCATCACACACTGGGGACCGTCTATAGTATACATCTGAATTAATTTTTAAGTAAATTCTCAATGATCTACAATCTCTTTAGATTTATCTTTGGAATGTGTTTAAACACTTGAATAGAAGTGGGTCTAGCACTTAAAAAATTCCCACCACTTTAAGTAAAATGATAAAGTCACCTTGGAAAACGAACACACAATCCCCTACTGAGCCTGTTGCCATTCGAGGAGTCACGAAACTACTTTATAACTCACTCAGATTAATTTAAACAATAGATCGTTTGTCCAGTGCTTATTCTCTTATCAGTGTTAACCTCTAGAACCTGGCTAAGAACCTTACAGTGAAAACACTGCAATATGTGCCATAAAGAGTCCACTCACACTGGAAGAGGCCTTCAGACCTTTCCTTTAGATCTCAAGGCAAACACACTGTAGCACCAAAACCATACAGCTAATAATGAAGGGGACAGAAACAATTACAATAGAAATAGGCTGAGGGTTTCAAGTTACAGCCGTTTGGAGCCATTCAACAGAGGACAAACACAACTACAAACAAGTAAAGAAAGTACAGTAACTTTATAGTGATATATCCAAATTATAAGGAAAAGTTAAATTATATTGAAATTATTTTCTGCACCTTTCACTGAAAAAGGCATATGAAAGTATACAGTGTGTTCTACGATAAGTTCCACCAAAAACTGTAGAAACATTTAAGAACTTTGGAATAAGCATCATTAACTATGAATATTTAACAATTATTATTCCCTGAAGCTACGTAAGTGTGGCGTAGGGAATGTAACTGAGAAACAAAAGGTAAAACCTGTACCTGCTTTTGCTATGGTACCCAATCCTTAAATAAATACCACACCTGTTTCACACTAAAGTAAATAAAATTATTTAAGAATCCAATGGCTGGCATTACAGCAGCTCCTCAATAAATATTTGTTAGTGGTGAAGACCTGGGAGGTTATCTGTTTTAACTGCCTCTTTGCTAATCTGTGCTTTTAAATCAACACAGTATCTTCTCTCTGACAAAGAGAAAACACTGGGCTTACTTGATCAGGATTCGTCCCGTTAAACAGACCACTCCTGGACTGAGAACGGGAATATGAGTTTTTGTTGTAATTACACTATAGGCTGCAAAGTCAAGTAAAATATAATTCAAGAAATAAGAACATAAATGAAAAAAAAACACACCAAAAAAACAGTACCAGATCAAAGTGTGCTCCTATAACTGGTAGTTGATTAGTACTGTAACTCGAAGTTCCTAAATGAAATATAAATTAGAAATAAGAAATCACATCTTCATAGGGCCAACTTACATCGGCCATCCGCTGAATCTGTGGAAGGCTCTCCATGATGTTCTGTTGTAAGGCTGCTACCTGATGACTCAACTCTTGTGTGGACTGTGCTAAATCATCTGTTTCAAAAATTACCGACAAGTCTTCAAGATCCGTGAAAATTGAATGTAAAAGATTATGTTTCTGTTCTGAATCTTCCAAAGCCATCTACGTAAGGGGAAACAAGCAGGGAGGAAAGAAAAGAAACATTAAGATACCGAATGCTGATTAAAATTTCAATCAGAGAAATTTACATTTGTCTCAACACATCAAACTCCTGGTCATTTCCAGTTTCTTAATAAGACACTGAACACTGTTGGGGGCGGCAGTGGACGACTTCAGAGCGTCTACCGATTTGGGGGCTTGCAGCAGCCACTCTGTACCCCATACCCTGCTCTTCCACCGTCATAAACAGGACCAGGAACCCCCGACCTGCAGCCCATCCCTCTGCAGTGCGGAGCTGGGGCCGAGAAAGCCAGTCAGGCTCTTTCCAACGGTGGGACTTGTAATTCTGGAAGGTGGGGTTGAGAGGAAGAGGTAATGGAGCAGGGATGAGAAATGAAGAGGCGTTCCTGTGGCCTGCCGGTCCGCCTGCCAGCGTCCTCCTGAGGCCTCGCCACACGTGCCACTGACTCCATTAGGCGTCCCTAGAGCGCGAGTCGACTCGAACACCTTGATATTAAGAGACCTTTATATGACACCACCAAACAGAAGTGAAAAAACCCATTTTTAGAACTCCTTGGACATTCCTCCTTATCATTTCTTTCTTTTAATAACTGCGACGTCTTAACTTTCAAACTGAAGACTTCAAAATATCTCAGACACCTACTGGAAACGTTCAATCTGTTAATGCAGTCTTTGGGTAAGTCCATTAAAAATAACTGATATGAGAAAGAACATTTACTTACGCAACGAAAATTCTAGTCGTAAGCCTCCAAAATTAATCAGCTTACTCAGAATTTTATATTGGTATTATTCAAAATCCCAATATAAAATTGGTATTTTATACCTAGAAGGAGAAAATTTTGAAGAAAACAAACTGATGCTTTTTAGCCATGGCTGGTTGGGCTCAGTGGTTAGAGCGTCAGCCCACGGAACCAAGGGTCTCGGGTTCGATTCTAGGTCAAGGGCATCTATCTCAGTTGCAGGCTCAATCCCCGGCCCCAGTCAGGGTGAGTTCGAGAGGCAACCAACTGATGTGTCTCTCTCACATCAATGTTTCTCTCTCCTCTCTCTCCCTCTCCTCTCTCACCTCCGCTCTCTCTAAAAAATTAATGGAAAAAATATCCTCCAGTGGGAATTAACAAAAACATACAAACAGAAAAACCAAGGCTTTTTACCAATACTACTACTTATAATAGCATCAAAAAACATTAAATACTTAGAGATAAATTTAACAACTTATACACAAGACCTGTACAAAACACTGCTGAGAGAAATTTTAAAGAGATAAAATTAAATAAAAAGATAGTTTATGTTACTGGATTAGAACTGACTGCGTTCTCACACGAGACCTTGAGCCAGAGCCACTCAGTGAAGCCATGCCTGGGTTCCCGACCCACGTCAGCTGTGAGGTGATAAATGCGTGTTGCTCTAAGCTGCTACCATCTGGAGTAATGTGTTACACCACAGGTATAGAGTACACAGACCAAAACCTGAAGCAACCCCAATGCCCATTAACTGGTGAAGGGATAAAGACAGTGTATGCTTCCACCAATGGGATACTATTCAGCAGTGAAAAGAATAAACTAACTATAAACCTAGTAACCTAACGAATCTCAAAAACATTATGCTAAGTGAAAGAAGCCAGGTACCAAAGACTACACACTATATGATTCCATTTATAGGATACTGTACAAAAGGCAAAACTGCCGTAATATAAAGCGATGAGTAAGTGGTTACGTAGGGCTGAAGACGGATGAAAGGGGGCCGGCTGCAAAGGAGCATGAGGAAACTCTCTGAGCTGATGGAAATGTTCTATATTGATGGTGGTGGTGGTTACACAACTGTATGCCTCTATCAAAACTCATCTAAAAAATTTCACCTAGCTTGAATTTAAAATAGGTGTATTTGCCCAGCTGGGTGTGGCTCAGTGGTTGAGCGTCAACCTATGAACAAGGAGGTCATGGTTCGATTCCCCGTCAGGGCACATGCCCGGGTTGCAGGCTCGATCCCCAGTCGGGGGCGTGCAGAAGGCAGCCGATCAATGACTGTCTCATCATTGATGTTTCTAGTTCTCTCCCCCAATCCCTTCCTCTCTCTGAAATCAATAAAAACATATAAAAATTTTTTTTAAATAAAACAAAATAGGTGTATTTTACTGTATGTAAATTATACCTCAACAAAGTTGACTAAAGAAATAAGTTGTGCCCTGGCCAGTGTGCTAAGTGGTTAGAGCATCAGCCGGAGCACTGAAAGGGCTGCAGGATTGGTTCCTGGCCAAGGGCAGGCACCTGGGTTGCAGGTTCAATCCCAGGCCCCAGTTGGGGCACATGTGGGAGGCAACTGATAAGATGTGTCTCTCACATCAATGCCACCCCCTTACATTCTCTCCAAAAATCAATGGAAAAAATATTCTAGGGTAAGGATTTAAAAAAAACACACAAAGTTGTTTTCCTATTTTTACAATGAAATTTATGTTTCCATGATTCTTAACTACAATAGCAGTCTTTGGTTATAAACAGTATCTTTAGGTTATAAAAACCTATTTTAACAAATACAATCCAGGTAGAAGGTTATAGTACAGTTAAAACAGACTTTTTATTTATTTATTATTATTATTTTTTAAAACGTATCTTTACTGATTTCAGAGAGAGGAAAGGAGGGGGAGAGAAAGATAGAAACATCAATGATGAGGGAGTCATTGATCAACTGCCTAGCCCGCAACCCGGGCATGTGCCCTGACCGGGAATCGAACCCCAATCTCCTGGATCCTAGGTCGATGCTCAACCTCTGAGCCATGCCCGGCCGGGCTAAAACAGACTTTTAAAGCTTAGTTGAGAGCTTTGATACTTTTAAGAGTGATTTTAAAAATCATTCCTGGCAATGCTAGAAAAAAATGCAAAAATGTATCCTAAAAGTAGGTCTATTTTTACATATGAGTAGTTATTTCAGACTTACTTCCCATTGGGGGATTTATTAGGGTACATTCCATGGTACATTCTGTGGGAAATCAGCCTGCATCTCCCTTGTCTCTACTTCTAGCTCATAAACTAGAGTTCTACTCAGCTCTAGCTCACCAAGGCCAGCAAGTGAGAGATACTTTTGCACTTTTATACTTGTGTCAGTGGAAGAGAGCCAAGTCCAACTGCTTTTGCTTGAGTTCACTCTTGTACAGCATTTTTTTAAAATCTCATAAGCATGTAAGGAAAAAGGCATCATTTCTCTCTTATCTTTGCAAACTCCTTAAAATGGTGAAATACACAGGCGATTTAAAATAAAGGGGGGATGTGAAAAGTCAGCCCCAGAGGTGGGGGTAGGAATCACAGGCCAGGGGAAGAAAAGAAACAAATGGGTGAAAATGTAACATCTTTATAACCATGATCATGGGGGTAAAATAGGCCAAAGTATCTCAAACATCAGGGAAGCACGAAGTCAGCTGTTCACTTAGGAACACACTGTGCTATCCTGAAGATATAAGGAGCTGGATCAACTCTGACGTCTGGTTACTCTAAAAATTGTAATAGAATAAACCTTTTCCTAAGAAATTCTTACTCGTGGCTAAATAGTATGACAGAAGTGAAATATGCCTTCATAATAAAACTTAAGCCAGTGCTTGGCACCTGGAAGATCGCACAGTCATGGCCCCGAGTAGGAAAATACTTTCATTTGTTTGTTTTTGGAAGCTAGCATGGAGACACAGGGCACCTGCGGAGTACCAGGAAGGACAGGAAATTTGGAATTACAGCATGCTAAAATTGGAAGGAACCATGGATTCGCCTTTTAATGCTGTGTTACTAATTACCAAAAATTTCACCGCTTAAAATGAAACAAATTTATTATCTCATAGGTTCCACGGCTCAAGAGTCCAGGAACTGATTAGGTGGGAATTCTGCTCAGGATGTTGCAAGGCTGCAATCGAGGGGCCATCTGGAGCACAGTTTCTCTTCCAAGTTCATTCAGGCTGTTGGTAGAACTCAGTAGTAGGAGTGAGATGCCAGTTTTCTTGCTGGCTGTTGACTGGGATCACCCTTAGCTTCTAGAGGCCACCCTGGGATCCTAACCCCATGGCCCTCTCACCATATGGCAACTTACTCTTCAAGCCAGCAGGAGAATCCCTGTCCAGTCTGCTACACCAGGGAGTCATATAACCATGAACATGATTAATCATGTATTCACCGGCGTGAGTATCCCGTTACCGTGGCAATATGGTAATGTGACCTAGTCATGGGAGTGACCATCTCACCACATAATCACATTCCTGCCCACACTCAGGGGAAGGGACTACACAGGTCCCGTACATCAGGGGACAAGAACATTGGGAGCCATCGTAGAATTCTGCCAACCCAAACCACCACAATTCAGAACAACATTCTTACTTCAGATAGGGAAACTGAGGCCCATAAAGGACAGAGTAAATTACCCAAAAAATCATATAGTAGTTATCAGGACAGAAAAAACAAGATCCTGGGCTCCAAAATCCCTGTCTAGAGCCTGCCCCTCTTTCAAACTTCCTTCTGCCATCTGGCGAGGTTGGAGATAAGGTGGGTTTTAAGGAAAAAAGGTGGAGGGTGGGGGGTGGGGCAGGAAGGTTAGCCAAGGCACTGATCACTACGGACGTCCTGTGACACCTAGGAAACACTGAAGGCACTCACCTGGAGGGCGCTCGCGTGGTGACTCAGAGTCTTTGAAGAGTCATAGTCAGCGGGGTTAGCCAGCAGACGACTGGTGCTTTCTATCCAAGCCTCAGTATTCCTCAAAACGTCGTGATATTCCTCCATCTTAAAGGTGGCCTGTGAAAGAGAGGTGGTACCAAGCTCAGTCTGATTGACGTCTTCTACCGGAGTTGAATGGTTCTTGAACGAAGAATTCGTGGCTATTAGTCAGTGGTATGTCAGCCTTGCAGGCTCCACTCCCCATGGTGGGGCCGCTGGCCCACCCCCTCCAGTTCCCATCCTCCCAATTTTAAGACCTATCCTGACCAGAGCTGGAAGGCACTTGAGTTCTACCCCAAAGCTACGGCCTCAGCGAGGGTTCTGAGTTAGCCTTGCACCTTGTCTGGTTCCCACCAAATGCCTCATTCTGAAAACCGATTTGTATTTTGTCCGCCTGCACAGGGCCTTGACCTATAATATCCCAGTTCCTGAGACGAGGACCCTGCCTCATGCTTGTTAGGTCACATGTACCGGTCACCCAGCCACGACCCCGGCTTAGAGGGGAAAGAGAGGGGTGCTGTTCTGAATGACATTCCCTCTTGTTGCGGGCTCCCTCCCTGGACTCCTGGATTGCCTGCCTGAAATGCTGTGCTGGGATCTGGCTTCTGGACCCTCGCCTGTGCCTGCCCAATTAGACTTCCTGCCTGTGCCAGTCGAGAAATCTGTCCCCTCGGTGTCCACCTGAACCTGTCGTGTGGCTCTGAGGGAAACTGGATACCTCCGAATACATATTTCTCTTTTGGTTTAAATCCATCCCACCCAGCCGGCACGGCTCAGTGGTTGAGTGTCAATCTATGAATCAGAAGATCACGGTTTGATTCCCAATCAGGGCACATGCCTGGGTTTCGGGTTCGATCCCCAGTGGGGAGGGTGCAGGAGGCAGCCGATCAATGACTCTCTCTCTCATATCACTGATGTTTCTCTTTCTCTCTCCCTTCCTTTCTCTGAAATCAATAAAAACATATTAAAAAAATCCATCTTAACACCAACAGCATGTGCGGTTATCACGTGTTACGGTCGCACCTTATTTAACTGTGAGGTTCTAGACTCCGCTCTCTGTGACACTTGCTGATACTGCTGGAAAGGAACCATCAGGTTATCCATCCACTCTTGCGCCTGTCCTGGGTCCTGTTCCACGATGTCCTGGACTTCAGAATCCAGCTCATTGAGCTTGGAATGCCAGAGGTCCAGCTCATCCCACATTTTCTGGAGAAGGAAATCATAGGTTAATTTGAACGCAGGCGTCCTGGTTTACTGTGCTAATTCCTAGCGTTCACACGCTATTTGTACTTGTAAATGCTACCACAGCAACACCACAGGCACAGGTAGTCATGTGTGCCCGGCAATCACTTGTGACCTAAACTGAGTAACACCTTTTTGAGGTCTCTTAAGTCTAACAGTGTTCTCTTCAGCACAATGAGCTGTAAGGGAGCAGACAGACCTGGACATTCTCGGAAACAAATGGCATGAAACAAGGTCAACACAACCTTAATCTTTCAAGAGCAATGAGTTCACGTTATGTTTGAAAGGGCTTCAGTTAATATTTAAACCTATTTAGATCAGTACATACATGTACTTTCTAGAAAACGATTTTTATTAAGTACAAAAAGAAAACTAACAAAAAGAGAGTCTCTGCTCCAGCTCAGGATTAACACAGTGGCCGCAAATTCTGGCCACAGGTAACAGTAGCAACTGCTTTTGGCTCAAGAAACTGACAGGTTGAATTCAAACCTGGACTTGCTGGCCGGAGGATGTCTCCAGGGTAAAACAGTTAATTCTTACTTAACATTTGCTTAAGAACATAATTTCTAGAAATGGGAAAACCTTACTGCTTAAATTAGATTCCTCTATGTATTCAGAGTCCAAGATTTGGTTCAAGGGTGAGCCATATACTGACCTATTTTTAAAAGTCTCTATTCATGTTAGGAAATTTCCTTAAAATGTAGATTAGAATAAGAATGCTCTCGCCCAGCCGGGCGTGGCTCAGCGGTTGAGCATCGACCTAGGATCCAGGCGATCGGGGTTCAATTCCCGGTCAGGGCACATGCCTGGGTTGTGGGCTCAATCAATGACTCTCATCATTGATGTTTCTATCTCTCTCTCCCTCTCCTTCCCTCTCTCTGAAATCAATAAAGATACATTAAAAAAAAAAGAAATATTTAAGAATGCTCTCTATATGTTGAGTTTGCTTGGGAGTTAAGAGGGGCAATATTATGTTTATGTACAGTTTTACCTAAGACCTTATTTCTTCAAACATTTTATAAGAGAAATAAAATTGGAATTTCTATTTTCCTGTTTCCCCTTGCAGTCCAAAGAAAAGCTGCTAATACTATTCAAATCCTATTGAAATACTTTTATTATTGTACTTTTATTTGCCTATCAGAGCATTTTTAAAATTTTTCAGTTACAGCTGACATCCTATTGAAATGCTTTTTAATCAATAAGTTTCATAAATGTTCCATATTTTATTCCCCGATATTATTGCATTTTAGAAAACCAAAGACTCTAAGAAATGCTCTAACATAGAAACATGCTGGCCTTTGTTTTATATATTTATATTTACATATTTGTAAGATTTTTATATCAGTCTTACCAAAATAAGATCCTTACTCTCCTTTACTTGTGAAAAGGCCAGTCCACAATCATAGGCTCTCGGGGGGGTTGGGTATATTCCCATCATGAAAAAACTGAGAACAATTCTTAAATGTGACCTTCTCCACCACTTCTGCAGTGACACTCTCAGTAAGGAGGGGAGGGGGCTGCGGATCTGGGTTAGGGTCTCTGTAATTCAGGTTGATCCAGAGAGCACGCCCTGTGATGACCCTGTGATGACAGATGAAGGGGGGAAATACCAAATGCTGACGGAGGTTAACAGAGGATGTTACCTTTTGGATTTCTTGAGCTTTCTCGATACTTTTGCTTTTCTGCTGCAACATCTTTTCAACATTGTGAAGCCCATTGTTAATTTCATCTATTTTTCTACCCATTGCATATGATGGCGAACTTTTCAGGACTTCATTGCTAATCTGTTACAATGGGAGACAGACACATTTGGTTTAGTTAGAAAAGTTTTCTGCATTCTATTCACAGGTTCAAACGATAAAAGGGTTAGTCACACTGTTATGTGCTTTCAGTTATAAAAAAAATCTTTTAACAGTTCCGGGAAAAATCCCAAATCATACTGGCTAATGTGTTAATGAGAAGGTACATTATCAGACTCGGAGATGCCAGCTGACCCGATCTGTTAAATCCAACCTAAAGAAAGAGAAGAAACCAACAAACACAAGCCTGTTGACTGTAACCCACAGTATATACTTACAGATACGTGCTACGCTGGGCAAAATTACTGAGTGGGCTCTTTGAAACATACCCCAGTGGGGCAAATGATATGAAAGAATTCCTGAGAGATAAATTATTTATTATGCAGTCTCTCCATTTTATGAGAAAATCCTCTGTACAGAACTGTTTTCAATAAAATCAAACTTATTCTCAAGCCAACTTAAAAAATGTAATTCCCGCCTTAATAGTCATGAGGATAAAATAACCCTGGGGATGCACAAAGCCTAGTTTTCTCTGTGTGAATGTTTTTAGTGTGTTTTCACAGCAATAAGAAACCTAGCTGCCCGACAGGGTAATTTTTTACCTGAACGATTTTCTTAAGAAAACTAGGAAAGATAATAATGAATGTTCACTATGTCATTTTTCAAATACCCAATTAATTTGTGTTCATGGGGTTTTTTAGCCTGTGTTGACAACGTTTCCTTCCAGCAGCTACTCAATAACTAAATAATACTTTATGCTTTTGTGTAATCCTTTACCTCTTTTAAAAACCACTGTATCTGTATAACCACTGAGACTAGAACATTCCAACAAAAACAGTACACAGATGCAGAAACTAAGCACAGGCTACATGACTTGCTTAAATTAAGGTCACATATCAAGGTAGTGTCTGAACTTGTCCCTGGAAGCCCTGAGTTGCCAGACTCGGGGGTCCGGGCTCTTTTCACAACATCAAGGTGTTGATACTTTTATAAAATGTTTTTATCTCACAGGCCATACCACAATCAAGATTTTTAGGGGGGGAAAAAAAAATTTAATCCTGTACTGGGTTTTTTTTATTGCCGTATAACTTTTTATTGCTATGTAACGAATTACCAACAGATGGAGTTTTCTGATATTCTGGGTAGTTATTCCCTGGGCAGTAATGTACACCACAGGAGCAGTGGGAGAGAGGCCGCGACTCAGGAAAAGGACCCTCTGTCTGAATTGTACAGAACGGCACCGTGTCTGTTGCCCGGATCCTTTAGACACACCACACAGTAAAAAACAGTTGCTGTTTGTTACAAATACATAAACTACAGTTGACATTTTCAACCTTTAATTCAAAAGGCAAATTTTGATTATTAATTCACTGTGTTAGGGACTTTCACATGAACTATGCACAAGAACAAATTGAGTTTTCTCTTAAAACATTTAGTAATTCTCTTAAAATAAAACCAGTACTACGTGATTCTTGGGAAAGTACCTGTAAAATCAACAAGATATAATTGCCTGTTAAATCAACAAGAATTCTTATAAATACACATTAGGAGTTACACGCTTTTTACATAGGTTAGATTTTCCTAAGAAATCTGCGTAGAAGTTAACTAAGTTTGGAATCTTATTTTTTGTGTGCACTTAGTGTCTATTTTATTTACTAAGTTAGAGGTATTCTAGGCTTTCAAAAGCAATACAAAACTTCTGCGGATGCTGCACAGAGCAGAATTTTGTTCTGCTGGATTTGGGCTGCCCTTTTCACAATCCAGTAACACTGCCTTGCGAAACTCCTATGTCTGGACTAGGAAACATCTCCCACTTGTTTTTCTAACCTGGACTTTCAGGTATCAAGATGTGCCCAGGTATGATTTATGAGAATTGTGTTACTGCCATCATTAGAAAGACACTGTGTGTGAAGGGCTATTCCTACTGACTTGTGAAATTTGTATTCTTACTGCCCTTGGTTGCTGTTTCAAAGTACACACAGGAAATATGCCCAAAAACAAAGTATTATTCATGTCCATAATTTTAAAGTAATTGTCCATTAAAAAAAAGTCAAGTGAAAGATAACCCATATTTTTAAATGCAAGAGAAGAAAACCTAAGCATCTTGACAACTAAAAATAAACAGATCACCCTTGTTTTGAGCAATTTCATCTCAGAATTCAATACGCAAAATGATCATTTAACCAAACTCTATGAAAACAGAACAGTTATAGCTGAAAGCAAGGCAAATGGAAATATAATATCAAATGAGATTTTCTTCTTTATATTCATTCAACTCCATAAATAATAACACTAGTACAAACATTAGTATTACCTTCTCCTCTACGTCTGCCAGAGCTTTTCTGCATTCTTCCACCTGGGCTCCAATCTCTGCGGGAACTATGGTGTACATTTCAGAATACTTGATTCGGAGTTTTTCCATAATATTCTCAAACGTTAGCTTCCCTTTCTTAAAAATGCTTTGAAGCTCCTAAAAACATCAAGAGAGTTTTTCAAAACTCATAGGATGGGGGAAGAATTTAACTGTAAAAATAAAAGCAGCTTTCCAGCTCGTCCTTATGATTTAAATGAGCACATTTTGCATGACAAAACCTCACTGTTGATACAAGCTGATTACGCCTGAGAGATACTCCTTTTGGTCAGATGATGCTTTCTAATTTGTAAGAATTAAACTTGATCTCTCTCCACAGTGTCAAACCATTGTCCCAAGAAGACATTACAACATCTCCTGCTTCTAAAGTACCTCTAGGATTTAACTGTATCTCAGTGGCAGCCTTGATCTAAAACTGCAAGTAGCAAAAAGTTTCAAAGAAGTTTTTTTTGTCTGTTATTAACTTGTTGCCATTTCTGCTTCTTCCTACATTATCATCACAATGACTCAAGGCCACTAAAAGCCCTTATGCTTGAAGCAGAAGTGTCTGCTTTCATGTAATTAGACAGCCCAGCAGAGCTCCACTTCTTTCAAAAAGGAGGGTTCCAGTTCCACGCAAAGAATGTGGGTTTCAGGAGATAAAGGAAACCTGGACAAACGGTCCATTGGTTGTGGCCTAGAAACAAAATCCGATCTTCGTCCTGCTGCCCTAATGATAAAGGAGAAGCTCATTTGTTTGGGAAAGTTTCCCAAAGACCAAGTGGAAAAATACTTTCTGACTTTGCCGTGGCCTTTTGGGGCTTGTTTTGTTTTCAGAGTAGCTGTTCGGCCGCATTATGTGTGTTAATGGGCTGAGTCACCGTAATGACCGATTTGGATGACTCCATGATGTGTCACTGTTTTCCTTTCCTCAATCCTCAACGGAGAACACATCTAGAGAGGGAAAGTTAAAGGAAGGACAGTGCCGGGCGGACAGGGGTGGGCCTGAGGTACGGGGCCGCCCTGCTTTATCCAGACCTAGGGCTAGTGCAGGTCTCCACTCAGAGCACACGCAGACGGCTCCCCGAGAAGACCGCGTCTGTGACGGAGAGGAAGCTTCCTTTTTCAACACATAACCCTGATTAACAGCAGTGTGCGACTTTTGAATGAATTTCCGAATGTCACTTTTGCCTGTTACCACCGGACCGGAATATGAGATCATCCTGAAACAATGAGTTCCCAAATGACACCGGGAAGTGTGCACAGCCCCCACGATACTGTGATATAATATATAAATATATACATTTGATCTTTCATCACTGGCTTCTGGCAAAGCTTCTAAAACTCTTGAAATTTCCTAAATGTGGTGAGAGGAGCATCTTTTGTTATTTATTTTTCAACCACAACCTGAGTTTCTGCAATGGGATGGACTCTCGGGGTGCCCCTAGAGAGCTTCAGGATGGGGGCTGGTGGCCAGAGGAACCAGCCACTTGACCCACACAGAACCTTCATTTCTTCAGTCTGACCGTTTCCCCTTCTCTCCTTTTGATTCAGAGCGGCCCTGTCCAGCCTAGGAGCACCCTGGCTCACCCACTTCCCTCTCCTTTGCACTCCTGTAATCGTTAAGCCTGCAGGGCACTGAGGTTCTGGTCGGTGGCATCAAATAATCTTAGGAACAAAGCCTCGGGTCTGTTGACCACAGAGACAGAGTTTCAGTCAAACTAAAAATGACATCTAGGCCTCAGTTGTGTTTCAGCTCCAGGTCCAGAAAAGCTGAACGCACACCCTTGCGAAACCAGACGAAGTGACAGATGCACAGATCAACTACCCCTACCCTAGTGCTGACCAATCAATAAGACTTGACCCTAAACAGGACTGTAACTCCCTTAATCACCATGACTAATGATTCCCCCCTATAACCCACCCCCTGGAAGGCATCAGGGATCCAGGCTTTGAGCAATGGTCACCTGTGACTCCGGGTTTTGCATCATTTCCTTAACTAATTAACCTTTACTTTCTTTGTGGCAAACTTCTGTTTGTGTCTGACTGGGCTTTGGTGCATGCAGGTGAATGAACCCCTTTACTTAGGTAACAGCTGGAATGAAATTTCTGCTCGACCTCCCATCCAATAGGAAGGCTGAGTTAATCACCAATGAACAACAATGGAACCAATCATGCCTACGAAATGCAACCTCCATAAAAACCCCTGGACTACAAGGCCCGGAGAGCTCTGGAGGTGAACATGCCCAGGTGCTGGGAGCGTGGCCCACCCAGCGGAGGCAGGGAGGTTCTGTACCCCTCCCCCAGTACCTTGCCCTGTGCATCTCTTCCCTTTGGCTGTTCCTGAGTTGAATCCTTTACAATAAGTTGGTAATAGTAAAGTGTTTCCCTGAGTTCTGTGAGCCACTCTAATAAATTACTGAACCTGGCGGGGGGGATCACAGGTACCCCTGATGAATTCTGTTAGTCAGAAGTACCAGAGGCCTGGGACTCGTCATCTGAAGTGGGGGCAGCCTTGTGGGACTGAGCCCTTAACCTGTGGGGTCTGACACTTAGTGTCAGAATTGAATTGAATTATAGGGCACCCAGCTGGTGTACAGGAAGTTAGAGAATAGGTTGGGGTATGGGGTAGGGAGCAGGGAAACCCACACATTTGCTATCAGAAGTGTTGTAAGTAAAAACAGTTCCACCCCATCAGAGGTACGAGATTACATCCTACTAATGTGAGTTGTCTAACATGTTACTCAAGTGGTCTAAGGCCCTTGTTCACCAAACAAACTTAAAAGGTGGTCAGAAAAGGGCTGCTTGGTCCAGACTGGCCTACTTCCCAACCTGGTCTCAACCCTGCTCTCTGCTCTCCAACCACACTGATGTTCTTCCCTGGCTCTGCCCACACCATGCCGCAGGGCCTTTGCATGTGCTTTCCTCTCTCCTGGACTGTTCCCTCCACTCTAGTCCCTGAGTTACTAGGGACTGGTCCCAAGGACTCTGGATTCAAGACTGCAAACCTATATCAGCCACAGTCACAAGTTCATTTCTGACTTACCTCAAACTGTTCTGCCTTTTCTGGGCAGTCTTGTGATTCCATATTTTGGAAAGAAGATGCGGTCTTCTGAAATAAATTCTTCAACGTAATTATTTCTTTTGTGAAAGAATGTCTCTCTTGAATTTCATTCTGCATCAATTCCTTATTTTTTTGAGCTTTCTGAAATAGCCTGAAATACAGCATGAAAATAAAATTGCTCCTGTCATGCTCATCTGTGAAATAGTTTTATTTCAACAATTAACAAGGTATCTCAATAGCTCACAAAGGATTTTTTTTCTGAGAAAAAAGTACCAGTCTCCATGATTTATATATTGCATATACAATCATGTATCAAACTCTATCACCCCATCAAAAAGTTCTTCAAAACTTTAATCCCCAAATAGCCTCTTTTCTCACTTTACATAACTCTTGCCACCCTTTCTCAGGTAATCCTTGCGTTCACCTGAACGTGACAGAGGTGAGACTAGAGACACGGGTAGGTTCTGGGGGACAGACAAGCCCATTATCCTTTTTACCTCCGCTGACCCTATTTGTTGTGAACGTAACCACCGCATCAGTAGAGGGGTTTAAGTGGGTAAAATCCTTCCTGAGCTATTTGGGAAGTATCTCTAGCTGTAAATTTACTGTATCCTTTGACTCAATGACTTCTTAGCATCTTTCTCAATGAATTCATTACAGATGCAGACCGAGATTGTGACATTAAAAAAATATTCACTGCAGTGTTTTTATAAAAGTAAAAGGAAATTACCTATCATTTAAAGGTTCTATATTAGGGGGCTTGATAAATAAATGATGGCATATCCACATGATGAAAACTGACACAGCTGTTTCGGAGCATTTATGGCATAGACCAATAAACATGATATGCTGACAAATGATTCAGCAGGATACAAACAGTGGAGTGCCATCTTCGCAATTTGTTTAAAAATATAGTCATAGTAAAAAAAAAAAAAAAAAGG